ACCTGTGAAGTGAAAAACAATACAATAGTTGGCAAAGTGCAAAAGATTATCCTAAAAGATGGACACTGGGAGTTTAACAGATTTGGAACGTTAGGCGCTGCAGAGGATGATGGTTCCCATGGTGGTCGAGGTGGTGCAGAGGACACCAACGACACCAGCTGTAGCAGCATGGTTTGTTGCTGTCTAAGCAGTGTTAAATTATGGATTGAAAACCTTTTATAAAGCATATGAACGGCCTAATAGTTCTTGCTAGTCTGCAGTAGTATATGTCGCCCCATAGTTATCATTGTTGATGGACAATAAAGGAATTTTCGGTGACTTTTCCGTTTCGAACTGGCTTCATTTTCGCGGGCAGCAACAATCCTGCCGTAGTTTTAACGTCTGCTAGTCGGCAGAGGATCAGAGATATATGATCAGGAGTACTAATGTACATTATACTGACACTTGTTTGAAGACTCTTTTCGGTGTATTTATATGGACCGACTGTGAAATTCATGAATAAATTGGTGTACAATCAACTTCATTAAATTAATTTGTTGTTGATTAAGCAATAAATCATCGAAGTTCAAGTTCGTCTGTTTTTATCAATCTAACTGAAGTTCATTTAGTTTTTAAGCACCCAACTAGTGTTATAAATTCTGGATAGTAGTCTTCTGAAAACAACAGTGATTCCCGATAGCATTGTAAAGTTAAAATTGTTTGGAAGCTTCCTCCCAAAGGGTCTACCTACATTGCTGATACCTATTTGGACACTTCGACTAACTTTGTAACTATCATTCGTTTTTCTACTAGACTGTATATCACTGTTCTAACTTGTGCATATCTTATGCTGACTCGATCCTCATTGTTTGTCTTTTTCCCACTTGATCTGTTATTTCATTATTTCTCTCTACGGTTGTGTGACATTTCGATAATGGGATTTTGTTTGAGTGGGCGAAGCTCATTCTGACGATGGATTTTCTGCGGCAATTGATGGTGTGTGATCCTTGCTGACAGAGTTTCGATCGAACCTAGTTGGGATTGTTCTACTTGATCCTCAAGCGCTTCTTGTGCTTGAAGTTTTGGTAAGCTATAACTTAGGATACAAAGGCCGTCCAGACTGCAACAAGTCGGTTCTGGTCATTGAAAGCTTTGGTAACAGTTTTCAGATCACCTGCATGACAACAGTCATATCTGGCAGCAGGTTTCAAAGTCAAACGTGCAAAACTGCATTTCCATGATTCTACACTAGCGTGTGTGGAATGCTACACATTGAACGCTTTGCTTTCAGTGATATCCTAATAGCGCTAATTTAAAGTAAGGTTATTAGGGCCATGTTTTGTCGTCTCTCAATGTCTGAACGAGATGAACACTGCTGAAAATTTCCGTTTAACAGCTACCACCATTTTGAAAATTCAGACTGGTATTACTGGCTAGTGACTCAGGGGGAATCAAGATATTAGAAACGCTGCAGGCGGCTTTACCAGTATATACATACACTGCCATCTTAAAACTATTCAGAGTTTGCTTGCATTGAGGGGACGACAAGATTTAGCGACGCTGAAAGTATTCTCAAGTAGATTTCTACCAACGAGAATCAAATAGGGTCGCCTCAATCTCAATTTACTGACAAAGTGACATCCAATTTAAGTGTTCACGCCAATTTCACGGTTCAAAAGTTTGTTCGGAATGTTTTTTGTCTCTAAATGCACTTGAATTTCACCATTCGAAAAGTTCGCATGAACTTTAGGGAGGCACTGACTTCACAAGTCATGTTAATTCACACAAAGGAAGAGAGAGGTTTTAGTGCCCAGAGGAAACACCAAATAATAAAATGGTGCCTACTTGGTCATGTTATCTAACGTTCAACAAAATAACGAAATGTGTGTACTGTCGAGCTCTATGTTTTTCTATGCCCTTCAGATATTATATGAAAACGGTAAAGACTACATGATCGACCTTAGGAATTCGAGTTTTGTGAGTGAGGTTTTGTATGCACAGTACCCTTAAACAGCTAGCTATGTGATACAGTTAAAGATATGCGCAGCAAAAATGTATCTATTTTGTGATAAGGGGATCACTGTGGAGAGTTAAGATAGAGATGTTTATTTGATAGCGAGACAGTAAGAGACATCCCTTTGAAAAATTATTTTGGATAGTGTAGGTCTTTCTGTGCTTTTCCTCACCAACTTTTCTTTGATCTAAGTTGCACGAGCACAACCCAATCGCAATAGTGTGCCATCCATGAGCAGCGCAAAATTCAACTTTTAAAGGCTCATCATCTGATCCGCTTAAACGAAGAGGTACTTCGTTCGCTAGCCTGTTGGCGTCAACTAGAAATAGAGTTGGCCGTTGCCATAGCGGTGCCGATTGTGATAGACTTACGTCTTAGCCACATAACGGTTCGGCTCCGAAGTCAGGCCCACCCTAACTTGTTGGACAAGCTGAGATAACAGCGCCCAGGTGCTTGCAATGGTAAATGTCGATAAAATAGAGTTGTTTTCATAGTTAAAATAGTTGATCTATACCATCAGCTATTAGAACAGGTCCATGTACATGTTAATTTGTACAGCTGTGATCAAGGTTGCTAAGGGAACCATAACTTTTCTACCGATGACTGTATCCAACTGACAACAGACAAATATTCGCGCAAGTACGACATCACGCGTGATTGAAGGCTACTTCAGGAAAACATTTCATTCTGAGAACCTGCGAAGTGGAATGGAAATAAGTAATGGTTATATATCATTAGAAACAGACTTGCAAAGGATATGGAAAAAGAAGTCATGCAGTCCGTAGAATGATAATATTCATTTACAATGTATAATCCTAGCCATTTGGTCTTACTGCTGAAAATATGGAGCCTTCGATGAAAATGTAGCTTTCCCAAAACTTGGTGTTTTTTTCTTTTTCTTTCTGTAGGACTAGGCTTTAGTGAAACAAGGAATACGAATGAAAGGAGTAAGTGTTAACTTCATGCGGAGCTTGAACAATTAAAACATATCAAATCGATAGATGTTTCTCATTTTTAAAAATAATACACTTACGACAGCCGCGTAGTGCCTGCAGTTCTGCTAGCTACAAACCGCATCTACGGTGAACATGTTGGGTTCATAATATCAAGAGCATAGGCGATCCTTCTCTGGGCAGACATTTAGCTGGTAAACTTTTCACTGAGCCACGAGATATGATTTTGTTACGAGACAGTCATTTTGCAAACTGACTTTCTTGATGATTATTGTCAACCTGCGTTTCGTTGGTCGAAGAAGAAACTATCGTTTCCAAATGCATTAGGTGTAGTTTTAAGCGCCAGGGTAGAAGAAATGGAATAACTGTTGCAAAGAATTAATCTTCAAATGTGCTGCGGCCAATTAGTAACAGGTGACTGACGGAGTCATCACGGTGTACCTAGTGGAAACCAGGTCATATCACTTACAAGTTTTATCCCCCTAACCAATACCGGTGAACAGTGAGTTGAAATATTACGCCCTTTTTCGCGTGATCTATTTGTGTATTCACCTAAGGCAAGAATTTCTGCAGTGGCTCAGGCGTTTTAATAGTTAGAGAAGATAGGGTCAACACGGTAAGAAGTGTATTATGCTGGAGTTTATTCACTGACGTATTGGTGGTAACCAGCTGTTAACAATGTGATCACTGTCGTGTATCAATAAAGTTTTTATGCTAGCCTATTGTTGTTAAGACCGTAAATTAATGTTGAAGTATTCCTAGTTATGGGTGTGCATTTGTCCATCCCTTTCAGTCAAATGGTTTTATTCTACCGCTGACGTCAAAGAAAAGTGGACGATTTTTGATGTTTTAACTGAATAATGAATATTGTGTGCTTGTATTCTTGTAATCCCTCACAACCCAAAATGTATTTCAGCAGGGATGAGTTTGATACTTCCTTTCTGGTGACGTTAAGTGAAGCCAATCTAGCGAGATAGGGTGGACTACTATTAGAAGTTCGAAGGTTTTCTGACTAAAATCTAAATTTGGCATGATAGATTCAGATTCAGTTTATAAGGATAGAAGGCACTTGTGGCCTGTTTTAATCCTTGCAAAATATATCTCTGCAGAGATCTAACTTCTCTTTGAAAGCGTCCACCGATGGAGCTGATACTACTGAATCAAGTAAGGAGTTCCAGTCGTTCACCACTCTTTGGGAGAATCTAAATTCTGCACGTATTTTAATCGTCCTCGGTTTGAGCACTTTTTTGCGGTGAACCCGTAAATATATCCTAGAAGGGGAGAAAAGTTTAGGAGGGTCAGTTTCTATATCAACCTTAAGTATACGGTATGCTAAAATTAAGTCGTCTCTTTTCCTTCGGTGTGATAACGGGAAGAGATTTAAATGCTCCATCCTCTTATCATAAGGAAGGTGTGAGATACCACTAACTAATTTAGTTCCTACTCTCTGTACTCTTTCCCGGATATGTGCCTCGTTTTTGAAGCATGGACCCACCGCTTGTATGCGGTATTCTAGATGAGGCCTGACATATGTTACGTAGAGTATTTGGAACATGCCCTCGTCTAATCGTTTGAAAGCCCTTCGAAGTGCCCATAGCATTCGAAAAGCCTTAGCTGAGGCTGCATTGCAATTTGCAGTTGTTTTCAAATCATTGCTGACAATGATTCCTAGGTCCATCTGTTCGTTAACATCAGGCAGTTCTGAGTCCCTTAGATAGTACGACGTATAAGACTTCTGACCTAAGTGCATTACCGCGCTTTTCCTAGAATTCATTCCCAAACTCCCCAGGTTCAACCACTCAGCTAATTTATCTAGATTAGTTTGTAGGGCAGAATTAATTAAGCAGCATTAATCATAAAAGAAGCAATATTCATCCTCTAAATGTTCCAGATTAAAGAAAGAACTGATTCAAATGCAAAAATGAAGTCAGAGAACTGGAAAACAACATCCACTCATAAATAAGATATTTGAATACATTTACACTAGCAGAAAATTGTGAGGATATGACCATAAGCGTTTCTATTAGGGTTGGTGACCTTAGTTGTTATAATGCGCTAATTTTAGAAAGTTGGTATTACAGTATAACCGTGCGAATACGACTTGAAGGTCGTACTTGGAATGTACTCCTGGAATTATATGGTATGTTTCGTCTAAGATGGTTAGATACACAGAATTTCTTCTAGCCCACAAGCATAAAGTTACATATGTACACTCATGAATGAAGAAATAAAAAGTCCAGTGAAGGTAAACATGTGAAATAAATTATTTGGTTTTTGAATAAATTACTGTATGAAATCTTCTTATTGGACACTTAGAAACATCAGGCGATATATTTCTCAAACAATATGATAGTATTATTCCTAATAACTAGGCTTTTTCTACTTAAAGGATGTTTGTATATCCAATATCCAATATCGTTTTTACGAGCTAGTATAAACCAATTTGATTTCTTTGTGCTCGCCTCTTGATTGTAAGGTATAAATTCCTGAAAATTTTCAGCACTATATTTCTCAGATTCATATTTCAGATCTATTGGTTAAGTAGAAAAGGCTTGAGGCCTACTTTAGTCCTTTTCTAGTAAATTCTTGTGCTTGTCCAAACCCTTCTTGAATGAATCAGTTGAGGTTGCAGACACCACTTCTTCTGGGAGATGGTTTCAAGTGTTTATAACTCGGTATGAGAACCAGTATTCCACAGCAGTATGATTTCTTCTTGGCTTTTTAACTGTCCTGCTATGTTTTTCAAGATGTTCCGAACTAGTGGGAATGAAAAGAGGGAATAGGTTTGATCCGTAGTCATTATTTAAAATTCTAAACATTGCAATTGAATCTCCTCTCTGCCTGCAGTATGATAGGGAGAAGAGATTCAACCTGTCTAGTCTTTCATCGTATGATAAATTAGTCATGCCGAGAATCATACCTGTTGCCTCCTTTGAAGCCTTTCTAAAATATGTGAGTACCCTCTAAGAGAAGGACTGGCTACCTGAATACAGTTTTCCAGTCTTGACTTCACCACAGATGTAAATGAGGAAGTGAACAAATCTCTAATGATTCTAGTAAAGGCTCTGCGAATCGCTCATAAGGATCTGAAAATACGTGCGGTCACCTCGTGACAGTGTGCTGTAGTTTTTAAATCGTGGCTAACTATGGCACCTGAGTCCAAATGAATCTGAACTGATGGGAGTGTTATTTCCTCTTGTTCGTAGGAGTTGATGCTTCTGTGTCCGATGCTCATGGGTGCACATTTTGCTACACTGATCGGGAGCATCCATTCTGTAGACCGCTCTGACAGTTTGTTGAGGTCCTCTTGCAACGAGAGCGCATCACTGTCGCCCTTCAGCTCTCTCCAAATTTTTAAGTTATCTGTATATATGATCATAGGGTAATCAGTGAGCTTTTATATGAATGCCTAACTACAAAATTATTCACTAGTCTTCATATCTTATTAGCAATCTCTCTCTAAAAAGCAAGTAAGATTGGCTTTACTCCCACGATAAACTTTCACTTGAAGCGATATATATTTACATGTTGTAGCGGCCATTTATATAGCTCAGGTTTACATCATTACTACACGTGGAAAATACTTTTCCTATAAAACTTAGGCTTTATTAATCCTCTCCTAACTGTATGTAAACGGTGGGTAAAATAAAGTGTCACGGACTTATTCGTATACATTTACATTTAACTCAGACTGGTTAACTCATATTTGGCCACATTTTATTTCGAAATTTCCATAGAATTTAGCTAATAGAATTAGCTCACAGAGGTCTATTGTGTAAGAAACTTTATTAACGGTCGAAATTTAGAGTATGGGTATTGCTGTTTCCTGTAAATTTTGTTGATATTTAGGGTTGCATGAATAAATAAGACTTAATTTTACAAATCAAGGTAGCAAGTGACTTACGATTGAAAATTTTTTAGTTATGGAGAACCTTCTATGTTTGGGGCTTAGGAGCAGTTAGCAGTGCCCATTTCTAGCCACAGAAGCTGCAGGTTCAGTACATTCTGCTACAATTCTTCATTTAGTGTAAGGAACGGAATATAATTTCGGGCAATATGTTACTCTAGGATTCAGATAAATAGTCAGCATTTAGACTTTACTATCAGTTTGAGTAACAGGACATAGTGTTTGCTGTTTCCCTCCGGCAAACCCAATCCTTTGTCATTCTGATTCTTTAAGACGCAAAGATAGTCACGGCTAACTTCATCCTTATTGTCAAGCTTACCACTGACATTGTTGCTTCCTAGTCTTATAATTCTGATGAAAGTATGTTTCAAACATTTGTGAAACTGCATGTTTATCAGATCCTTGGAAACACTTTAATAATATTCATTTCTTTAAGAAAACTTTGATTGACATCAATTGCAAAAATGTCTTCTTTTCTTGAGTTAAAAAAGTTTTATTTTCTCTAATTAGCATCAGAATTTCTTCTTACATTAAGAATATTACACAAGATAAATTCACATCAAGTAAAAGGTCAACAATAACTTGTAATGACAATTTCCTAAACATTAACATGTACAATATGGCTTATGTACTTTTGGAATGAAGCCAACAATTTACATAATCCTTAATAGAATACAATTAAATAAAAAATATTGTTTCAACTTATCTTGGGCATTTAGAGAATTTTAATGCAAAAGAGTACAAAACTGAGAATCAAGAAAATAATTAATTTTCAAATGTTGTTATTGCTGATATGTGAATGAGGTTATACTTTTATTCACGAATTATGAGGCAATCTTATCCGCTGTTTATGAGCCACTTTGTTTAAATGAAAAGCAAAGTAATGAACTATAAATGTTACATGGTGGCAAATATTTTTACTCACAGATAATAGTCTAAATTCCACCTTGTGTATGAGATGGAAGTTATTTTCAAGGAGTCATCGGGTTCATTTTCCACCTTTTCACTCTTTAATGTAAACAGTTCGCCTTTTTTAAAATTATGCTGGTAATTAGGTCTGTTTTTGAGTATTCACGATTGTATAGAGTGAAATACAAAAAATACAATAAATTTATGAACTATACGTAATCCTCTTCAATATTTCAATGATGTCTGGAAATAAATACTAAATTGCTCAGTGTTAACAACCTGTAGCCGAATGTGAGCACGCTTCATTTCAGTGTTTTCTGATACTGAGTTCTGCATTTTAAGGAAAAGGGGCTGTAAAGCTGTTGCTACAAAGCAAAGTGCCTTTTTATTTTCTACTAGAAATTGAAAAGAAAGTTTATGTAAGTCAGTCAAGTAGCATCTGTTAGTTATAACCCTGCTTCACCATAGGATTTAAAAAAATCTGATACTGCCAATTGCAGAAATGTATAGTTTACTGAATGGTGCATGCACTGTCTGTCAGAATAAACACTTAAAGCTGACTTGAAGCTATCGTACAGACAAAATTGATCGAAGCATTTTAACAACACTCCTTGAAAATTTTGATTTCTATAACGTTAGTCGATTCATGTAATTTCTGATTAATTAATTTTTATTTATCGATGAAATCATCTTCACAGGCTGTACAGTTGTGTTTATATTTACCAAAAATGTATAGCAGTATATTATTGGGTAATAGAGGGTGACATAATTGATATAATTGTTCGGAAGTGGCTTTAGAAGTAAAAGATAAAAGTTGTAAATTAAGTGGTACTCAACGGTACAAAGTTAGGAATTTTATAAGGTTAAAATTGCTATTGAGTGAGAATAAAGGTAGCTGAGTGTCAATTGAACAAGTGTGAAGAGGGTGTAAAAATGTACAAAATGAACATATGAGAGTGATAATAGTGAAATAATTATTAATAATTTTTTTAGAGGGAACGACAAGTGAAGAGGTTTAGACCATGGTAGAATAAGAGACTGGACAAACGTTTTCTGTATGCAGAGTTCGGGGTGGTATGACAAATTGCCAGCGCCTCCATACACAAAAGCCAAAAGCTGACACTCTTTGTACCATTTGGCCTCTCCTTGTAGATGATCTTGAAAGACGACTCTGGTGGAGCTATGTGGCTTGAGTTCACTAAGTGCTCGAAGACTGAGCTAGTAACTGCCTTGCATTGTCTTTTTGTTAACCATACCGGATGATACTCAGAGATGCGTTTGGAAAGTGTGCGCTTCGTGTGGCCAATATAATTAGCTCCACACGAGCAGGTGAATTTATAAACACAGACTGAAGTGGCCTAAAACAGCAGTTTATCCTTCACACATCCATTGATCATTTGTGGGCTGTAGAAATTTATACGTAGCTCAGCCGTAAAGAAGGCTTTCCTCAGTTATCTGCATAAGCGATTCTTCAGGATCTTGGCTGCAGTATCCCCTTTAAATCCAATGCTCATAAATAGCAGTTTCTTCGCCACTGTCTGGGTTCTTTCAGGTTTTTGCTCTAACTTCATGTTTTTTTGCGGTAAATCTTGGAGAATAACCATTCTCTATGAGGACTTGTCTCAGTTGCTCCAGTTTCCCATTGATTGTATCACTGGAACATACCCTTCTTATTCCTGAGGATAAGGAGTAGATCAGGTTTCTGTTTCTCCTCAAAGGGACCCAACTATGAAAACTCATGTACTGACCATTCCATGTTGGTTTCCGGTAGATCAATCTTTAAAGGGAACTATCAGATCTCCTTTTTAAAAAAACATCCAAAAAATGGAATTCCGAGTTCATTTCTGATTCCGGTGTAAATTGGATGGCATGATAGCAGCCGTTGAACTCCTTAGTTATCATTTCGATGTTCGTATTCTTGTCACATATGACGATGGAAATAAGCCATAGATGTGTACAGCTTTTATGGATATCTCCGCTCACACCTACTTTATTGGCCATATACATAAATATATCATTGCTTCTTTTTGTAAATACAATTATACTTATTCTGATACGGAAATAGACTTTTAGTCTCACGTCGTTGTGTGTTATCGCTTGAGTAGTGTGGGCTAGGAGAACACGTATAGCTGTAGTAAAATGTCATTGGTGTAGTCGAGGAGTTTCTGCAATAAGCGCGTCTGTGTCCAGCACGTCGTCCTTATTCAACCTCAGCATTGTTTGTAAAATATTAAAGTCGCGACATCATAGCATTGCTAAGTACAGTAGGTTAGTAAGGATCACCAGAACAAAGCATCAGTTCAGCAGGCAGTAATAAATCCATTTCCTGCTGACCCAATTGTCTTATCGAAGCAAGAAACTCTGTAAAATATAGTAAGTTTATATTTTATCTTATACCATTAATCATAATTTAAAGCGACTTGTGAAAT